CGCATGGCGGGCCCTGCTCTGGACGCGGCGGCAGCCTTTCCGTCGAGGTGCCGGCTGCTGCCCGGAGCGCGAGTGTGACTGCACCCCTGAGCGGGGGCGTAAACGTGGTCCTAGAGGGTCTCGACCCAGCGAGTGTGAGAGGCTGGGAGGGCCCGGCCGCAAGGACCACGTGTGAAGGACGGGCTGGGGGGGAGGCAAGGACCACACGTGGAAGACGGAATGGGAGGGGCCACAAGGACCACGCATGGAGGATGGGATGGGAGGGGCCACAAGGACCACGCGTGGAGGACGGGATGGGAGGGCCCACAAGGACCACGCGTGGAGGATGGGATGGGAGGGGCCACAAGGACCACGCGTGGAGGACGGGATGGGAGGGCCCACAAGGACCACGCGTGGAGGATGGGATGGGAGGGGCCACAAGGACCACGCGTGGAGGACGGGATGGGAGGGCCCACAAGGACCACGCGTGGAGGACGGCTGGCCTGTGTGTTTATTGGGTGAAGGGCTGGGAGGAGGAGGCCCCTCCCGGGTACCTAGCAGGTGGAGCGGACCACGGGCTGGAGTTCCGTTCCCTCTCGGTTCCTCGTGGAGCCCCCGGCGCCCTGCGGCCCCTTGCGGTGGGTTCTGTTCATCCTCTTCACAAAACTCTGCGAGCAGGAGGGCACGTGGCCGGGTTGTGGCCTGCGCTTGGCAACCGTGGACCTGGCACATCACTTTGGGGAACTGAATCCTTACAAAGTGCCCCCAGCCCTGGCCGGGTGGCTCAGTTGGTTGGGCATCGTCCCACGCACTGAGGATCACAGGTTCACTCTCCTGTCGGGCACAGGCCTGGGACTGTGGGCTCGATCCCCGGGGGCAGGGGACAGGGGCAGCTGATCGAAGTTCTGCTCTCACAGGGCGTTCCCCTCTCACATCAATGTCTCTCTCTCCCCCCCTTCTTCCTTCCCTCCTTCTCCCTTCTTCTCTCTAAAAATCTTTTTAAAAAGTGTCCCCTATTGAATTAAAATATTGGGTGAGGAGGTAGATGTCCAAGTGGATTTTAAGTCAGAAAAGTGGGAACCAGAACAAGAAGCCCTGCCCGCGTCCTGCTGCCTCTGGAGCATCCCCCACGACTGCGGACATGTGACTCCGCGGGCGCGTCCTGTTCGCGTGGAGACTGAGGACACGTCGTTACGGACGCGGAGGGGCCGCGCAGAGGGGCTGCGCCTGCTGCTCTTAGAATGAAGGGGCTTTAACGCCTACAATTTATGGTGACAGAACGAACGAGGATTATCCGGACGCCACTGGCCCCGACAGCAGGGAGATGAGACGCCCCAGCTGTCCAAAGGCCGTCTGCAGGGATGAGCGGGGACAGCTGCCGGGGCTGCCAGTGAGCAGAGGGCCCACGATGGCAGACCCGCCGCCACCTGGCCAGACGGAGCCTTCGCTGCAGCAACGCCCTGACCGGCTGTGGGGGTGGCGGGCGCGCGGGTGCCAAATGCTTTGGGAAAAGATCAACTGCTAAACCCCAAACGTCAGAGAGGCCAGACTGAGCCATGAGCACCCACAGGGCTCAGACATGAGGCGTCCCCCCTGCAGCCAGGGCCGTGGTCAGTGTTAACGTGCGGCCTCCCTCCTCTCCAGGAGTCTCAACTGGCCGGCCGAGTGGGAGCTCAGAGAACCGCCCCCCCACCCCCGCCAGGCAGAGGAGACACAGGCTGCGTGTCCCGGGTGGAGGCCGAGACTCCCCCACAGGGAGCGTGCAGGTCGCCGCAGAGGCGCGGTGTGTGCTCACCAATAGCTCGTGGTCCATGAAGTAGGGCTTTCCGGGCGAGCCGTCGTTCGTGTGCAGGTCAGCAGCCAAACACAGCAGCAGAGCGCCCAGCACGGTCTCGAACACGGACAGGAAACTGTGCGCCACCAGGTAGGCGAGGGCGGCGGCCAGGAGCAGCGGCACGGCCCACACCTGCAGCGTGCGGTGGTAGTTAAAGGCCATCAGCCCTCCGAACGCGGTCAGACACGCCACCAGCACCTGTCGAAGCAAGAGTGCGCTCACGTCCTCAGAACTGTGGGAGCACTCAGAAAATGTCTCAGTTACTGCCGTGTCACACGTGTGCATGCGTGCGTGTGTGTGGGACCGTGTGCATGCATGTGGGACTGTGTGCGTGCGTGGGGGACTGTGTACGTGAGTGGGGGACTGTGTGCAGGGCTGTGTGTGGGAGGGGAGGCCGTGTGTGTGTGTGACTGTGTGTGCGCAACTGTGTGCGTGCGTGCGGGACTGCGTGTGCATGTGTGCGTGGGACTGTGTTTGCATGTGACTTGTGTGTGCATGTGGGACTGCATGTGTCAGTGTGGGACTGCATATGTGTGTGGGGCGGGGGACTGCAGGTGCCCTGCAGCCAAGCACGCACATCAGAACTGTTGGGACAATGAAAGGGGACAAGAACACGACCTGTGACAGGGAGCAGCCGTGGAGGAGGGGGAGGGGCTGTACTCCCATCCCATCGGCGCCTCGTCCGCATTTATCTGGGGCCCTGGGGCCTCACTCTCACCCCACAGTTCGCCCCTCACGGTAAACTCTTCATAAGCGCCCCTTGCACGTGCGGTGACGGTCCCCTGATGGGCACTGCCCTTAGCATGCGGTCACTTGCGCCCGAGGACTGGGCGGAGGGCTCCCCGTGCAGCGGGGAGGGACGGGTCATCGGCTCTGTCCACAGGCAGAGGTTCCATCTCCCGGATGAGACGAGGTCAGGTGGCACCCAATTCTTCAACAGCCACAGCGCGGCCGGCTGGAGTCCGCGGGCCCTCGGCGCCTGCGAGGCGGACGTGACGTCGGAGCGGCACTTGGTTGAACACACACACAGTCACCGGTGCCCACGGGCGCGGGAGGCTCTGGGCAACTACGGGCTCGTCATGGGAGACGAGGGAAACGGCTGCTCCCCGAGTTAAATGAAAGGCACGTCTGTCTCAGGTGAAGCCTCGGCCCAGAGAACGTCTGGGAACACAGTTATGAGAGAGAGGCCGCCCACCGTCGCCCCGTTCGAGGGCCACCTCCGCCGCGGGGGCACCCACCTGCCGGGCCCACGTGTGTCGTGTCGTGGCGTGTCACTGACCACAGCTCACCAGGACAGCAATGAGGAGAGACCAATGCGAGACCCCCGAAGATCCGAGAGGCCAGACGGAGCCATCGGCGCCCACGGGCTCGCACCGGGATGCGCCCCCTCGCAGCCAGGGCCTGGGTCAGGGCTGATGTGCGGCCCCCCACGGAGGCGGACACGCTACGGGAGCAGCCACGGGCCCCACAAGGGAGCCCAGGCCTTGTTCAGTGTGGGCCCCGGGGCTGGGGATCCAACGCAAAGAGGAGGCAGGCGTCCGCCTTCGGGGGAGCCAGAGAGGCGCCCGCACGCCCAGCCCGCTGCAGGACTGCCCGTCGGCCCCCACCCCGTGCCTGTTTATTCCGGGGACACGCCTCACCTTGCCTAGGAAGACGACGAAGTCCCCAAAGCAGCTGACCGACGTGAAACGACTCGAGTTCTCGGACAAGAGCCTGAGCGCGTCCTTCGCAGACGTACAGAACTCGGTCCCGTTGATGGCCGTGGCCACGTACGCGTTCTGGAACGACAGGCGGAGGTCAGAAAGGAGATGCGCCGTGTGCCCGGTCTCAGGACAATGTGACGTCGGCTATGAGCGTCCAGGAGAAAACCGGTCACGAGGCGCCCGGGGCACATCCTGTCGCTGCGACGGCTCAGATTTCAGTTCTCACCGAGCGGCAGTAACAGAGATACATAAGCACCTGGGGGCGGGAGGGTGGCTAGAGCATCGCACTACACACACATCGGCCCAGCTCGTGTGGCTCAGGGTTGAGCGTCGACCTATGAACCAGGAGGTGAGGGTTGGATTCCCATCAGGGCACAGGCCCGGGTTGTGGGCTGATCCCCCGTGTGGGGCGTGCAGGAGGCAGCCGATCCATGACTCTCTCATCACTGATGTTTCTCTCTCTCCCTCTCCCTTCCTCTCTGAAATCAATACACATATATTTTTTTAAAAGCATACGGGAACGAGGGGGAGGAACGATGCTGTGACACCCTGCAGAGTCTGAGGGCAGGAGAGGAAGGTGAGTGCCGGACACAACGCAGCCCCTGGTGGCTGGTGAGCTGCCCCCAAGGCCCGTGGGGCTGGAATCAGCGAGGCTGTGCCAGGGCGTCGCCCCTTCCCGGGAGACCACGCCCTGGGAGGGAACTGAGCGCCCTGCAGATTCAGGATTCACACCCATTCTAGTGGTCATTTTAATCTGCAATGAATGTAATTCCCATGCTGGGGGACTGGTACACATCATACTATTTCTAATATTTTGCTGTTATAAATAACTATGCAATGGACATCTTCACTTCCTGATTTTGGACCATTTCTTTAAGATAAATTTCCAGAAGTGGGATCACTAAGTCAAAGAGAGAGAGTGTGTGTGTGCGTGTGCGCGCGTGTGCTGCATGTGCGCATGTGTGTTGTGTATGTGTGCGCGTTCACATGAGGTTTCTTGGGTCATTTTTCCAAGCACCTTCCCTTGTGACAACACGATCATCTCAAAAGCACCTGTTCCTACATCTCCCTTCAAGCCTCCACCAGCACCGCGTGCGTGGCCACTCCAGCGAGGGAGGAGCTCGCTTTCCGGGGACCACACACGACCTGCTTGGTGTCGGCCGCGCCCTGGGCTTGGACGAAGGATGAGTTTCCTCTCCTGACACAGGAGCCCGTCACACGGCCCCTTAGCAACGTCGCCAGGAGGCCACCACGGGGTCCCCCACAGCCACTCAGCCCACAGCCTGCAGCCCATGCGACGGTAACAGCGGTAACAGGTGAAGCCAGGGGCAGACCTACCCCCCCCTCGGCGAACTCCCCCCTCAGCACAGCGGAGGGAGCCTGGCCTGCCCACCGGCACCTGCTGTCGGAGGGACGTCCTCAGTCAGACGGCCGGGGAGGCCCCAGGAAACACCTTGGAGGGCCCACACCCTCCGGGGCCGACGTAGAGGGAACCTGTGCATCGCTGGCCTGTGAAATCCTGCTGGTGGTGGGTGGGAGCTGACCCGGGGAGGGGGGGGGAACCACGCCTGGCGCAGGGAGGCCCAAACCCACTCGCTCGCCACTTAACGAAGCAGCTTCAATCACCCCCAGTTCCCAGAGTCATCACTCCTGAGGACA